TCCATCTTGGGACCATTATTTGGGTTCTTTTTGCTTTTTTCTGCTGGTCCCTGGCCCTCAAATAGGCGACTAACTCTGTGATACAACAGATAAATAATTTGGTAGCAAAACCTACTCAGATACATTATCATAAGTTAGCTATGGAAGACCACAAGACTCAAGATGAGGTTGTTACTTTATACAAGGTGTTTCCAAAGCCCATCTCCACCCAACCTAAAAGGGGGGACTTCTGCCCCTAGACCAAGCAGAGAGGGGCCACCCAGAACCCCCTCTGACAGGCGATCTGAATTCTTGCTTAGGCTGCGAGGCTAAGCACTGCAAGGGAATATAAATAAAAGATAAAAATATCTATCTGGGTTCCCTGAGGGACAAGCCTGACTGCATAGGGGTTGATGTCAAAAGTATCCCCTCTCCAGGAAAAAGACATTGGAATGGGTATGGCCCTCATGCCTCACTGGACAATGACAGGAGGACTGGAGCCATTACAAGGTCCCCTTCAAATACTGGAGGTCAGGCCTCTACCCCCGCCTTCGCAAGTTTAGAATTGTCACAGCCCTTCTATACTTAGAGAAGGGAGGAGATGTCAGGGCTAGCCCTGCTTACACACTGTAGGCCTAAAATCAGCCATAGGCTCAAAATCAGCAATAGGCCTGTCATACATGTATACTAACACCAAGTCTTGGGTCTCAGTAGAAAACATTGAAACAGATGGCTATAAGCTAATGTCAACAGGCAGCTTTTGTGGAAATTTATAAGCCTGAGTAGTCATAGACCTTGTAAATAGGTAGCCTTGGCAGACAATACCAACTTAGATAAGGACAAGCGAGTCATAGGCAGAGTCATAGTGAATTGCCCCCTGAACCTTCACCTAGCCGATACCCGGTTCTGAAGATATCTGTATTCCCTCTGAACACCCACACTCCAGTCATTCCCTTCCCCACATCCTGCCTTTCTGTGTTTAAAAGCCCTGTGTGAATTAATTATGATTTGAGAAAAAAAAAAAGGAAGCAGGAAAAACAGAGTTTGGATCCTATCACTGACAAAAGTTGGGCACAGTCTTTCCACACTGTAACCCACTCCCATACAAAGCAGGATGGAGATGGGAGGGTCATGGTGGGGGGATCTCTAGCTGTCAGTCTAGCTGAGTTACTTGAGCTGTACGTTCAGTAGGAGACCATGTCTCAAAGAAGGCAGAGAGTGGTAGAGGGGGAATACCTGATAACCTCTTCTGCACATCTTGACATATCACACACACAAGCATTGTGTTTTTAAAAGTAGGTACATCTTTATCACCCACTTAGGCTTAATTCTAGGTGTAGAGATATGGTAGTGAACAAATGAGATAGCTGTGCATGGTATTTTGTAGGATTTTATGACAAACACTCAAGTAAAAGAAAGAAGCATGGGTAGTAAGCAGAGGTGGTAGTGCAGGAGGGTTGCCACTTCATGAACCTTCTCCAACAAAGTCATATGTGACTAGAGACCAAGGGAACTAGGTCACTTGTGAGGACATCTCAGACAGACTCTTGAGTTAGCTCTGAGCAATGAAGGCACTGGAAAGTTTGAGCAGAAGTTGGTGAGAAAAGATCCAGACTTCACAGAGACTCCTTCATAGCTCATGAGAGATGCCTGATGGTCCAGGCCAGCGGATGAAAGTGTCATGGAAAAGGGGGTTGATGAGCTAGAGGATGGAAGATGATGTTTATCTGAGATCAGAGAAGGTATGGTACCGGGGGATGTGGCCAGGTGCAACTCCTGAAGATGTAAAAGATGATCCTTAGGATTCACTGATGGAGTGGGAGGTCTTTCTGTCATAGAGATGGAAATGTCAAGGGGTTCACAGGATTAGGAGCCTGAGAGTCCTCTCACCTAATTTGCAGATTGAGGGGTGAAGGGGAGGCAGGATGAAGCTGTTCAGGGAGAGTATTTGGAAGCTAGACCTTAGAGCACTCCATGCTAGAGTCATGAGGGCAAAGGGGGACTGGTGGGATTCCAGAGGACAATCAATGGGGTGGGGGTGGGGCGGATCAGGAAGATATAGGAAGAGTGTCTCTAAAGTGTGGTTAAGGGAGGTCACAGACCAGCTTAGGCTCCAATGTCATCGGTGCACAAATAAGAGCTGTTCTGGAAGAATGTTAGAAGGAAGGACGACAGGAAAGGAAGGGTACAGAAGGGGCAAGGACTGACTGGCTATGAACTGGAGTGATATATGGGCACACACGAAGGGCAGGAAGGCCCATTTGTGACATCCAGGGACTTTAGAGCAGCTCTGTGCTGCTAGGAGTGGTCCAGGACAAGGCCTGAACCTGAGGTTGCCTGAAATTAAGGGTGTGGGGAGGGACAGTTGGGGCAATGCTTTTGTGTGGGTGAAGGGTGGGTCCTGGACACAGTGAGGAGATGGTTTTGCACTGCTACATAGAGGTTAGCACACAGGACCAGAGCAAAGACAATACTGTCTGGGGACAGACACTAGCCAGGAGTGTTTTATGGAGGTAGGGGAGGAAGTGGAATGGGGAAGTATGGTGGGATCATCAGTTACTCATGAGACTCTCTTGAGATAAATAAAAGATGGTTAGAGAGAGGCCTTATATCTGGCAGTGTCCAGAAAGAGAGAAGGGAAGAGGCATACAGAGACTAGTGAGGACATGGACATCTGCCATTTCTTGGAAGGCTAGTGTGAAAGGCACGAGGTAGGAAGAAGCACAGGGAGGTAGCACAGGTAGGCAGCCGTGGAGGTAGGAAGAACATGGTGGGGGAGGGAGAGCAGGACAACTTCACGGGCTTGTATGCTCCAGAGGTGGGTAGACATTTTGAAAGCTATGGGTCTCCATCACATAATCTCCAAAGCACAAATTGGGAGGGGGAAAGGGTTTCTGTAATATGACAGGGGGCTTCATCACTTTTGCATGAGTGTTTATTTAGAATGAGCGTCACTGGAGCTGAAGAGATGGTCCAGCCGATAAGAGCACTTGTAGAGGAGTAGAGTTTGGATCCTATCATGCATATAGAAAAGGACCTGATTCCCTCTTTTGGTCCCTGGACATGCATAGGTGTATGTACCTGCATGTACACATACACACACACACACACACACACACACACACACACACACACACACCCTATATCTCTAATTCCCCAAACAAATAACAAAATAAGCATAAATAAGCATTCACCAAATCATGGGAAGCGAGCGATGATGCAGGCAAAGCCTCCGTTAAATCAGGATAATGGTCTTCCCAAGTAGCCCTCCCCAGATGGCTCTTTGCCCCTGCCTGGTAGGTTCTACTCCCAAGTCTACAAGCACAGGGTGGAGAGGTAAGGCACTGCTGTCAGGTACCACATGATCTCTCATATCCATAGACACCTTTTAACAGACTTAATTTCAACTATGGCAAAGGAGACATCACACTATCTGGAGAGAAGTCTAATGAAGTGTCAGATGACAGAATTTAAATGCCCAGGGAAGGGTAGGATGCACCAGCCAGTTCTCCCTCTCTCCCACATGTGAGAGGTGTTCCTAGCCCCTGAAAGGAGCCATCAGAGGAGGCAAAATGTTTTGGGGGTTACTGACTTTTGAGGCAAAAGATTGGGCAACTGCTTTGTAGAAGCAAATGGTGGGGCTGGGCAAGCACAGCCCCTGGTTGAATGCAAATCCTGTTGCTTCTATTTCTAGGCCTGAAGGCAAAGGTCTCTTCACATCCTACCACAGGCTGTGGGTACTGTGTCTGCCTGGCTTTCATCGTGGGGTCTACTACCTGGCATTCATCCTCACAAAGCAAATGAGCAACCCATTGGAAACACACTCAGTCCCGTCTCAAGGTATGTCTGGGCTTCAACCTGACAATATGCTCTTTCAATTCTGTTTTTCTTTAAACCTCACCAAATTTCATGTGTATTTATGAATATACAGTTACTGCCAAATTCCTGGCAATTTATTCATATTCAAAACTCCCAGCTGTGGTGAGAGGAGGGTACATTTTTCAAGATGGAAAGAAATTATTTTCCCAATATATCAAAAGTATGTCCCATTTTTTATGGCCACATATCTGATATCAAAGTGTGAGGAAGGAAGGCTAGAGAAGGTCTGGGGATATCGTTTTCTTGGGAGGTGGGGGAGGCTGACCTTTCTATGGTGCTCATTGGGCCATAGGCTTACAGGGAGCAATCAAATAGAGTATTCACACTTATAACTCTCTTAGAAGGTCATGGCCCCTCAGACTAACTAGATGGAGGTTTGGTTTGGATGATTATATGGAAGATACTGACTGAGTGTGAAGAAAAGTGTTTAGACACAGAAAGCAAGAATGAGCATGCTCAGGGGTGCTGGTCCCCCAACCTAAATGCCACAGAGAGAAACAGGGATAAAGCTCAGGTTCACCCCCAGAACCCACATAGAAGAAGGTAAGAACTGACTCCCACCAGGTAAGTTGCCCTCTGGTTTCTGCCTGTGCTCTGTAGTATGCACATGTGCTCCCCCCAGCCTCAAACAACTTTTAAAAAAAAAGATTATTTAAAGGGGACTGGAGCAATGGCTCAGTGGTGAAGAACACTGGCTGCTCTTCCAGTGGACCTGGGTTTGATTCCCAGTACCCACATGGTGACTTTCAACTGTCTGTAACTCTAGTAACAGGAATCCAACATCCTCTTCTAGTCTTGATGGTACCAGGAGTGAATGTGCACAGGCATTTATGAAGGAAAACCACCTATACACATGAGATCATGATAAAATGAAATCTCAAAAGATTCTTTTTTTATTTAATAATAATACATTTTTTTTTTTACTGCAAAATAACAAGATTTTACTTTGGAACTTGCCATCAGAAAAAGAACAGGAATCAACACAAATAACAAGGAATCCACTAGGTGGTTCCCATCTGTCTTCAGTTTGTGCAGCTCGTGTTTCCCACAGAGCCACCACCTAGGCGCACAGCTCTCTGATTTTATGTCCACTCCCCAGGCGCAAGCAGGCCGCCTCCAGCAACACTCTTAGTAACCTGAGGTTTCGTAGCAGTACTTAGTGTCCAACAGAAACAGCTCCAACTGCTAAACGATATTTTGACTGCAAACCTTCTCTGACTGTTGGTGGATCGGCAATGACACGGCACAGTCAAAACAAACAAATACAACACAGAACCAGAATTCTGGAGTTATCAGGCTCCGTGTGACACTTTGCTCCATGACTCTGTGTGGGATCTTAGACCTCGCGCAGCCATGGCATCTGAATTCATGACGCCTCCATATGACATCCCCACATGTCAGCATTGCTGGGGTGGGGGATGTTGTAAGACAATGTGGCTGCAGGGGATGAAGAGACAGCTCAGCAGGTAAAGGTACCTGGCTGCTTTTCCAGAGAAACAAAGTTGGATTACCAGCACCCATGTGGCTGCTTATAACTGTCTGGAACTCCAGTCCCAGAGAATCCAATTTCCTTCTCGAGCACTGCACAGAAGTAATGAAAATAGACACAAATGCAGGCAAAACAACCATATCAATAAATGAAACATTCAAAAATATTTTTAAAAGCCAATGCCTGCAGAGGCCTGAGAAGGGAAGCCAAGGATGCTTTCCGCCATGTCAGCTCTCAGAGCCAGGGTGACTTCATGCACAGCAATGCTTTATGTGCTTAGACATCAGAGAAGAAAAGGATCTTAGTAGCCCAGAGCCTTCCAGACATTAGAGGAAGAGTCTAGCAAGGTCTCTGAGATGAGTCTTAGAGAGCTGCTAGTTCTTAGATGGTAGAGTGTTCTTAAGGAGTAGAGATGCCTTGGACATAGACACAGATATTAAAAATGTTCATGGGATTTTTATCAGCCTGGGTACTAGCAGGCTTTCCTATGAGGAGTAAGAGGAGGCCAGACTAGAAAGGGAAGTACACAGGTAGGAAAGATCATGGTCACCAGGCCCAGGAAGTCAGCATTGCTTTCATGGGCAAGGCTTTTGAGCATTGAAGCGGGAGGAAAAACTGTATCTGACAGATACCCACTGTATTGGCTGTTTTTGTGTCAACCTGACACAAGCTAGAATCATCAGAGAGGATGGAACCTCAGCTGAGGAAATATCTCCATGAGATTCATCTGTAAGGCATTTTCTCAGTTTGTAAGCAATTGGGAAGGGCCCAGGCCATTGTGGGTGGTACCACTCAGGGTTGCTGGTCATGTGTTCTATAGGAAAGCAGGGTGAGGTAGTCAGGGGAAGCAAGCCAGTAAGTAGCACTCCTCCATGGCTTCTGCATCAGCTCTTGCCTCCAGGATCCTTTCCTGACTATCTTCAATAATAAACAGTGATATGGAAGTATAAGCCAAATAAGCCCCTTTCTCCCCAACTTGCTTTTTGCATATGATCTTTCACCACAGCAATAAAAATCCTAGCTAAGACACCACAATGGTGGGTTTTATGAGAGGAGGTATAATCTTCAAAAAGAAAAGCTCAGCTCCTAGCTTGGGTCTGTGATTCTGGCTTTCGTTAGAAACATGGTCTTTAGAGATGCAGCCGAACTAAGATGTGGCTCACACTGGGGGAGGGCCCACCTTTCCTTTGACATAGACACCCAGAAATGAAAACCATGTGAAGTCACAGAAGGGATGCAGGGATGATGAACACACGACAATGAAGGCAGAAAGTGGAGTAATGCAAGCTAAGAAATGTCAGAAGGCACCAACAGCTGGAACAAGTCAGAAAGGTTCTCAGTGTCTCTAGACCAGGCCATGCTGGAAATCTCAACCTCTTGACTGTGGACTTCTAACTATTAGAACTTCGAAAGAGTTAAGTATGTGATCATTTGGGTTCCCTCTGTCTCCAACTCTCCTTTGTGTGTGGGTGTGTGCATGCATGTTCCCTCCCTCCTCTTCCTCCTCCTCCCCCTCCTTCTCTCCTTCTCCTTCTCCCCCTCCCTCCCCCCTCCTCCTCCCCCTCCCCCTCCCTCTCCCTCTCTCTGTGTGTGAATATATGCAAAGGCCAGAGTTAAACCTTGAGTATTTTCTCCATTATCTACTTTGTTTTTTGAGATAGCCATTCTTTTACCTAGAACTGGTTATTTAGGTTAGCCTGTGATCCCCAGTGATGCAACTATCTCTGCCATACCCCACTACTCCAATTAACCAGTGCTGGGATTATGAGCATATGCGTGGTGTTTTTTCTATGTGGCCTATCAATCATTTTATTTACTGGGTCACCTCCCCAGCCCCAAGTCCAGTAGTGTTCAGTATGTTGATATGCCAGAAATGACTGAGCATGCCATGGGCCATGAGTAGTATGAGGACTGAGAGGTCCAAAACAGGTGTTCTACTTACATTTCTGTTGATATGACAAAGTATCTTGATATAAAGCAACATAGTGCAAGACAAATTCTAGGTTGTAGTCTATTATTGAGGGCAGGCTAAGGAGAAAACTCAAGGCAGCTAGTTGCATAATATCTACAGTCAAGACCACAGAAAAAGGAATGCACCCACACTGCTTGCTTGTTTGCGCTATTGGGCTTAGTGTCCAGCTAGTTTCTTTACACTTATACACGAGGCTTAGCCCATAAAATAGTGCAGTCTACTTTCAGAGTGGGTCTCCCCATTTCATTTAACAATCAAAGCAATCCCCCACAGACATGGCCACAGGCCAATCTGGTCTCCTCATCCTCCATCATTTAGGTGGATTGGTCATCTTAGGTGATTCCAGGTTATGCCATTAAAACTAACAAGCACACCAGATAAAATCGTAGTGACAATGGAGAGAGTTAAGAAACTGTCCTTTGAGAAAAGCAACGAAATTTGAAAGACTGGGAAGGTGGGAAAGATAGTATGGTCAAGTGGCTCCTAAAGGGTATCTTTTCATGGAAAGAACAGCTACACCCAGAGACCCTGGTACTCTGAACTAGACATTGAGTGGAGGCCATTTTGCCAAAGAATGGATGGCTAGAGATATCTGTAATGACAGAATTCATTCAGTGGGAAGATGAGCTTCAATCCACAGGATACAAGCACTAGAAGCCAGGAACCCCAGACTTCATCTCTGGTGCATTCTGGAGACACACAAGATTGGAAAATCAAAACTTTTCAAACATCTTGGCTGGAAGGTTCTTTCAGTGGCAGGAGATCCAACCTCAGGAGAGGAATGTGTCCTGAGCCTCCACATGGGTTAGAGCTGTTGGTACCTGCAAAAAGCTTTTTCTTCAACTTGGGATCACTAGAAATATAAATAAGGCATGCCATAATTGTTGGTTAATTTGTTTCCAGTGAATTGGTTCCAGATTCAGGCTTTTCCCATTATTACCACTCTTACCTCTTCTGGTGCACCCTGAAGTTCATCAAACTATAATTTTGTACATGTTTAATGACTACCCAATGACATTAGAGAGTCTGGAAAGGTTCCTTTCTCATTTTGAGATATCCTACCCCATAATCCAAGGGCCTGGAAACCCCAAAGTGCTCCAGTTCTTCTTCATGCCTCCCTCCCTGTCTCCCTTCAACCAGAAGAAAAATAAAAGTCCACTTCCCAGTCAGAATAATTGCCACAGTGGAGAAGAGATATTTTTAAAAACTTTCTCCCCAAATTACAGATCTGAGATAATGACAAGAGTAAAATTGTAGTTTCAAGCCCGAAGCAAAATCCGTCAACGAAAAACACAAGCCACTCACAGCATGCAATTTTCTTGGGGCCAAGAGGCATGAAATGCACTTTGCTACAATGGAAGTCTCATCATCGCTAACTGTCTCAGGACTCAAGTGGCTTCAGGTTGTACAAGGTCCCCAAATTACCCCAGGTTCACAGAATTCTGCCTTGAACTTCTATTATAAAGTTCAAATTGAGATCTGATCCTCAGACCACTACAGAAAAACTGTGTCTCTGAGCCTTCATTTGCTGATGGTGGAGTAGGTAGGCTATAGAAGATTTTGTGTCTAAATTCTCATGAGCTTCCTCTTAAGAAACTATCCTTCATGAAAATTAAAGTGGCCAAAAATGTACTATGTTGATTACATGATGAGAAACAGATGCAGAGTAATAGAGACGGGACAGGGCTTGTTACCAAGGCCAGATCCATGTGGACCTTCCATTCCGAAATCCAAGGTTTTGTTTTCACCTTGAAACTGAACAAGAATGCGGATCTTACTTAACTTACGGGCATCATATTAGTGTCTTTTTTTTTTTTGAAAGAAGGAACTAAAATGCATTCTTTATTTGATATGCATATTAATAAATCCCTCCCAGCATCTAATATTCAGAAGGATTACAGTGTGAGGGGGAGAAATACCTTGGTTCAATTGTAACAAAAATAATATTTAAGGTAAATACTGCAACAGACGTTTTAACTTTATTTCATAAAATAGAGTAGGGTGGAATTCCTATGGAATGTAGGTGCCTTGGCCAAGAAAAATTATGTTTTTACAGATTTCAGACGTCCTTTTTGAACAAATATAGAAATGTAAACACCAGGAAATACAGAAGTCGGTGAGAAAACAATGGTCTAGGAGTAAACTGTATCCAAGCAACTGATACCTGAAGTACCCATCCATCTTCAGACAAGAAATCTTGTCTTGCAAACACACCCCAACTATTCTTTACTTACTTGACAGGATCTGACTAAATATCTTTTGAGGTAAAAATTTCCTTCCTATTCCCAAATTCTTCAGAAACTTTTAGGCAGATTTTTTAAAAAAGATGTTTCATAACTGTGGGCAGTAAGAGGGTGTGACCCATAGAAACCACACCATTACCCCCAGCTTTCCCTTGAGAGTCTCACTATTACAGGGACCTTACTGTCTATGGAGGTCCATTCTTGGAAAACTGGAGGAAGTCAGACTTTGTGTGTGTGTGTGTGTGTGTGTGTGTGTGTGTGTGTGTGTGTGTGTCAGACAGTCCATTTTTGGTCTCTTCAGATGTCTTCAGTCCACTCAAATCTACCCAAGAGCTAAAGGATGGTGTGACTGCCAAGCTCCAGCCACCATTCCCTCCCTAATTCACCATGGAAGTAGATCGTGGCAGGTCCCTTGGTGAATAGATATGCCAGGGAACTTTTTAGAGGAAGAATTTTCTTTCCTAAATAATTGAGCAAGGCAAGAGAGGAAACACAACTTCTTTCATTAAAGAGTTAAGACATTTAATGTTACACATCGGTGGGATACTCGAAAGTGCAATCAGTAGCTGTGACTGAGAGATGAAAACCAAACAGAATCACCATGAGCCTCCACAGAGACCAAATGACATCCAGCTGCTATATTAGCCAACGTTAGCAATGCTGTGGCTGCCTGTCTATATGTAGTAACTTCCTGTTGGCAAAGCTACTTGGGTTGGGTACTCTGCCATTAGAACACACAGGT